ATGCAAAATTGTTGTAAAAAGACCAGTAAATATTAATTCACATTTCCAACAAACATCACTGGGATCCAAAAAAAAACATTGCGTAAGACACACAAAATATCTGAGTACTTGGTTTGTCGGTGACGCGATAGTAATTATCCAAATTGGTACATTATTGATTAGCTATAAACCAAGAAAGTGCATACAAATTCTCCAAAAGCGCAATCTCTTAGTAGGAGATGAATTCAGGGGTTAAGCTCCCAATTCGACATGAACTAGAACGATCTTGCGTGAAGTTTCCAAATCTCACCCAAAAGTTTTCGAGTATCGCCCACAAATTACAGGAACAAACAAGATACGAAACTGCACATCCGGTCCTTAGCCAAATCCAAAGATATGCTACAATGCTACAATTAAATCACTAAACCGGACAGCTCCTTCATGACGGTGGCTATTCGCCCATCTTTTAACGGTGCTCTCAATGAAATAACCACCCCGAATGCAGCTACATACAAATCCAGATCCTGCGGTTAAATCTTCATGCGGTGCGATATACCATAAGCCCTTTCCGAAGAATCTTTCCGGAACCCGAACCGCTACAATTAATCCCCAGATGTAACATCGAAACAATCAAACGCAAATTTGGAATAATCCTTCTCTTCAGGAAGCAGCGGACGACTTAAATGAATTTCGCTCAACTTGTTGCAAATCTCCGTAACCAAAACAAGTATAAATTGTGCACAATTGCGCATCACCAATGGATATATCTCTTGCAGACGCCTCAATCGCCCTTTGTGAGTACCCTCTTCCGACAATCCGTGCTTGAGGTATAAGGGAATATACCCGATCACAATAAGAGGTCGAGGAGGAGAGATATGGTTGGTAGAAATTAATTCCTTTCGTTGAGACCTTTCATTAGAATAGTGCCATGAAGGATAAAACTAGTTCCATCCCCCCCCCCACTCTCTATCCCGTACTTTGATAAGAGGACAGAAAGAAGGGCAGTCGTTGGTAGAAAACGATTCCTTTCGTTGAGACCTTTAATTAGAAAACAATGAGAGATAAAAATAATCCCCCCCCCCTTCAGGCTCGTCGCTCACTGATCTCGAAAAAGGGTCGCACGGGAAAGTTATAGTTTGTACAAAAATTTATTTCGATGAGACCTTTCATTAGAATACCATGAAGGGTAGAATATGTGTTCCCCCTCCCCTCCCATTTTCTAAAGTTTAACTCGGCACCACTAAAGGCATGCGTATGCAAAATCTGACACCAATTGGTATGTAAAAGTTATGCACATTTTACTTTCAAAAACAGCATCTCAGGAAATAATTCGTGGGGAGCCTCCCGTTTTAGACAGAGAAATTTGATGGCCGTCTGGCACACCTTCAAGGTATAGGCTACCTACTGCAAAAAATTTCAGGACTCTAGGACCATTCCCCTAGAAGTAGTTCAAAACGGTAGAGGTGGGTCCGGACGGACGGACGGACAAAACGCAAACAATAGCACATTTTTTTAATTCTTAAAAAATACACTAAAAATTGCACGGGCACGGCATCCAAAACATCCCCAAAATTGCTTTTTCCAAATGGGTATTTTGTTTTATTTTTTTTTATTTGCCTTTAGTTTTGAGTGGGCGGGGTTTCAGCCAAGGCTGTTCTACCAACCCAACCCACTGTACATTTACAAATATCCATGCCCGAACCCGGATTCGAACCAGGGACCCTTAGCAACTAAACTGTGCCACACGGGCCGGGCTTTTCGATTCAGACCAATTCGACATTACACAACAACTTAGGTGACAAGCAAATCGCCATCTTCCTTCTAGAGGAAGATCTCGAATCGTGCACATTTCGAAAAACAAAGCAAACCAACATTCATACTACGAGAAAAAATCATACGTGACCAAGATCGCTCTAGTTTAAAAGCAAAACTAACCGTCACAAGAAGAACAGAGAAAGTAGAGAGAACGTAGAGCAAAGGTAGTGAGGAGGAAGAGAGAGAACTAGAGAGGGTAGGGGAAAGGTGGATAGAATCTGGATAGAAGATAGATAGAACGTAGAGCAAAGAGTAGAGTAGAGAGTAGTTAGATAGAATGTAGAGAGAACGTAGAAAGAAGGTAGAGATAATGTAGAGCGAAAGTAGAGAGAAGGTAGAGGGAAAGTAGAATGAAGGTAAGGATAAGATAGAGAGAAGGTTGGGAGAGGGTGGAGAGAAGGTCGAGAGAGGATAGGGGAAAGGTAGAGAGAAGGTAAAAAGAAGGCAGAGGCAGAGGGTAGGGAGAAGTTAGAGAGAAAGTAGAACGACGGTGGAGAAAAGGTACTTACAGAGAAGGTAGGGAGAAGATAGAGAGAAAGTAGAAAGAAGATCGAGAGAATGTAGAAAGAGGATAGAGAGAAGTTGGAGACGAAGTAGAAGATAGAAAGTAGAGATAAGGTAGAGAGAAGGCGGGGAGAAGATAGAGAAAACTAGATAAGGTAGGGGAAAAGTGGAGAGAATGGAGATAAAAGGTAGATAGAATGTAGTAAGAACGTAGAAAGAAGGTGGGGAGAATGTAGAGCAAAGTACAGAGAAGATAGAGCAAAGGTGCTGAGGAGGTAGAAGATATAAGGTAGAGAGAAGGCGGGGAGAAGATAGAGAGAACTAGAGAAGGTAATAGAAAGGTGGATAGAAGGTAGATAGAACGTAGAGCGAAAGTAGAGAGGTTAAGGTAGAGAGAAGTTAGAGGAAAGGCTGAGAGAAGGTAGATAGAAGGTAGAGCGAAAGTAGAGAAGATGTAGAGAGAAAGTAGACAGAAGATAGGGAGAAGGTAGAGAGAGGATAGGAGAAAGGTAGAGAGAAGGTAAAAAGAAGGTAGATGGAAGGTAGGGAGAAGTTAAAGAGAAAGTAGCACGAGAATAGAGAGAAGGCGGGGAGAAGACAGAGAGAACTAAAGAAGGTAGGGGAAAGGTAGAGAGAATGTGGATAGCAGGTAGATAGAATGTAGAGAGAACGTAGAAAGAAGGTAGAGAGAATGTATAGCGAAAGTACTGAGAAGGTAGAGAGAAAGTAGAAAAAAGTTAGGGAGAAGGTAGAGGAAACGTAGAGAGAAAGTAGAGAAAAGGTAGAGAGGAAGTAGAAAGAAAGTAAAGAGAAGGTGGAGCTAAAGTAGAGAGAAGGTAGAGCGCAGGTAGGGTGAAGGTAGAGTGGGGATAGTGGAAGGTAGAGTAAAGGTAGAAAGTAAGTAGGGAGCAGGTAGAGAGAGTTGATCATTCATCCGTAGGAATTACGGTACAATTACTGACCAAGTTACGTTAACAATTACAATACAACAACAGGTATTTAACGATCCGCTTTATAATACACAGAAGTAAAGGATGTTGTCCTAATATGAGTCTTCGTCGTGACCAAGTGAGTTTACAACAAAGTGACCGCTTGTTATCAGCAGATGGGAAGATAGGCTAAGGGAGTTGTCTCCCACAGGTAACGGTGAATTTAACCCAAAATTACAAAATTTGTACGTCGAACAAAAATTGGTATGTAACATGAAACGTGTCTGCAACTGGAACCCTAAAAAAATCAAAGGTTCTTTGATGACATTCAACTTACCTATCCCCTCCATAAGAGGGCTAATCGAAGACAAGCGACAATTCGATGAAAATTACATTACGAGAAATGACAGCCGAAACATCTATATATCTAAAGAAGGTACACACACGACAAATAAACGAAATGAAGCCCCACTAGGAGCACAGGCAACATCCCGTCCGAACTTTTACTTCAGAATTCTCAGATTAAGGATTCAATCGCCAAAGATCAATATATTCGAAAGATGGCAATTAGGAATCCATGCGTTCTATTAGACGCTTTCAGCTGGTTTTTTTTTAATTTACTTGTACTTCGATGTGGTTTACGAAGAAAAGAAAGATGAAAATGGGCACCAACAAATCAATGCAAGAAAATGCGCTGACATTTTGCGCCAAAAAATGGATGTTTTTTAAATAGCACTTAATCGGGTCCGAGTTTTATAATCTGCTAAACTGAATTTTAATCAGCGCAACGGACTTCAAAAGTTTTCTCATTTAACTCTGACTTTAAGAATCGCGCGGGGGGTAACAAAGTAACCCATGCAACATCACCCTATCTGGAACACTCTGTATATAACAATGATTCGCCATAATGTTCTCACCGTAATTCAAGAAGCATTAGTTGAACATGTTTGCACATTAAAACATGAAAGTAAAATACAGCAACTAATTAATTAATTAGCATTTACGAGTTGGCAGGTTTTTGTTCTCTAAGGTCTGGAGAACTGATAATAAAGCATCCAGATTTCATTGCTTCTCTAATGTTTCATTTCCTCTACTGTATTTAGCAGATGTTACCAATCCAACAAAAACATGAATTACATCTACAATTATATCAGTAAAGGCGATTGAAAATTAAAAATCCTTCCATTGGGTAACAATACATTATTCATACAACGATAAAATCATCGACTTCCTTTAATTGAAAACTATGATCGACTACTTAAAAACGATTCGCTTTTTTTCGCGAGTAGATTTTTACAAATTCATGGAGTCGATGAATTTCTCCTTTAGCACATTAACATATATTTCTCACCAGATGTTTTACGATGCGAAATTCGTATTGTATTCGTTCTTTTGCGAGTAACTTTCTTTCATTTTGATTTCTAGTGCAATTTCGTCGATTTACGCCTATATTTACGAGAAAACGTCAATAATAATTACTTTCCATTTTTCTTCTTACGCATTCTCAAAAAGACAGAAATAAAAACTGAAAGTAGGTGCATTTGCATTTTACGACAAAGGGCCATAAAGCGCCGAATTTACTTTCAGTACTCTTTCGGATGTTGTTGCGTTAAAATTCTAAAATTTTCGTACCCAGGACGTAATGTTTTACACGACTAAATCGAGACAAAGGGTATCCGCTGACATTATTACAATTATTAGTAATACGCTCTGTAAACCAGTCTAGTTTCGGGCCCCGCTTGCAATGTATCCGTTTTTTATTTTTCGATCAAAATGAACGTTTGTGTGAGACTATTCAAATACATCCACTTGTGCTTATTCATCGAGAAGGGTTCGTGGTCACCGCAGGGCGTCAACAAAAATCGCGTCAATCGACGACATCGCATGATTCTAAACCGGAAATTGAGAGATAGAAGACTGCAGAATAACAAACCGGAGTGGTTGAAGCAGTGGACGATTAGCAAGGGTTGGATGCATAATCGGTCACATTTGCTGGAACTTGGCGTAAGTACCGAGAGCTTAATTCCCACTATGTCAGCTGATAGCTCGATATCGTTGAGAACATCGATGACCTTTTGTCAGTAACCTCGGAAGATGACTTGAACAAGATCGAAACGTTCAGTGATAGCATCGACGATTACTCCCAAGCTTTCGATAATTACCGGCAGACGTTCCCGGATGTTTGCTGCCAAACCAATTCGGACGGCGACATCAAGCTTCCGGAAATATACAAAGAGCGGCTGCTACTCCACGACGGTGGGAATTGTCTGAAGGAGCTTTGGGCGGAACTGAAGGTGAAGAAACGAAAAGGTAAGGCAGAGAAGAACATCACATTCACGATTAACGAACTGTACGGTACCAACGAGAAGGTCCCAAGCCTAGCCGAAACAGTTAATAAGCCCAAAGTAAAGCTGTCAAAGTCCACGTTAGGTGAGGATTTGGCGACGTACAACGCCCTGAACTCCAAGACAAATTTGCACGAGGACACCATCTACGAGTGTTCCGAGGATAACGTCAGCTTGTACAACAATCCGATTTACGTTTCCAGTGAAATGATAAATCAAAACCGTCGCTACTTCGATTTTCATACGAACCACGCGTCGAATCAGTTTTTGAACGGAAGTGTCGGGAAGTGCGTTGCGAAAAAGTGCGAGAAGTACATAATAAGGCATATTAAAATAAGGATCATGTTGTCGTTACGAGTGAATAGGTTGAGAAGGTTTTATAAGCGAAATCGGAAGGGTGACCGTAAACGTTCAAAAACGCGGAACAGTGCGATTAGATCGAAAACGAAAAGTGCGCACGAGGAGCAGAGGAGGATTGGAAATGGTAAAAATTCGTTGAAAATCCAAAATATGAGGTAAAGATCTTCGTAATTTGAAAAATTTCAGATTTCTGTTGTAAAGTCTCTTAACTACTTCTGCGAGCGAAACATTTTGGAAAAAACTTCAAAAATATGATTTAAACAATACGAATTGCTTAGCAAAATCCCAAAAATGTATTGGTAAAGATATCTAAGAAGTTCAGAATTTTGATGATAAAGACGACAAAGTTGTGAAACAGAAAACTAGACGATTAGTCCCAAAAAAATGGCAGTAGAAGACCTATGTATGTTGTGGTCCGCCATTTTAATGGGCACCATCTTGGATTGAGCGCCATTTTATTAGTCATCAAATCGGCCATCTTGGATCGGTCGCCATATTATTAGTCTCTAATTCCGCCATCTTGTTGGGCGCCATCTTGGATCGGTCTCCATTTTATTAGTCTCCAATCCAGCCAATTTGTTGGGCGCCATTTTATTAGTCACTAAATCCTCCATATTGGATCGGTCGCCATTTTATTAGTCTCTAATTCCGCCATTTTGTTGGGCGCCATCTCTCTCTCTCTCGCTCCATCCGCCATCTTGGATGTTATTTTAGAGTCGCGTCATCGGTCACGTGATTGCTATGGAAAAAAAATTTATTTGCGTTGGCAATCGAACCCACGATTCCTGAAATAGAAAACTAGCACGTAACCAAATGAGCCACGCAGATAGTTGAAATATTATGAAATTGTGTTCCAAAGTATATAAACATTACTTAACTCACCAAGCTTTAATATCTAATAATAAATAAATAAAGGCAAAAAAAATATACAGTTTCATAGGTTTTGGCGAAAATGGGTAATTTTCATCCCTAAAAAATGAAACGCACCCATCTGCATAATGTAAATTATAAAGTGGGGAGTAAGTGTAGCTTGATCTCAAATGCCAAAATAATATCTATCATCAGAATATGACTTGAAGAAAATGGACGTATTGCTGTGTGCAATTATATGCGGCCACTACACCACCCACAAAACACTTGTCCAGCTAACTCAAAACAAAACAACCTTTAAATTTAGAATTGTAATTATTTCCTCGTAGACGTCCGGTTCCCTTCAAAAAGAAAAATCTCAATACCGGCTTTAAATTAATCATTTGGGAGACTCAGTAGCTTTGATCAAATTTCAAAGAATTAACTACACAAATTTTGATAAACGCCTAAAATAAACCTTGCGCACGAAAAGAAAAAATCTGACATGAAAACTCTACTTGGTCGCACAATGGATTCGCATAAACATACAATGAATTTATTAGCAATGACAAACATTCCAATACACATGAAACAATTAGAACATAATCCCTGAAAGAAATAAAAGCTTACAAAACCTGTTTGGACATATTACCCCGCACGCAGACGGTCGGCAATTAAAATAAGAAAGCTTAAAGTCACTTAGTTTTTTCTGCATAATCCAAATAATCTGGTCGTTCAAGGTTTGCGAAACTGGACCGACCTATCAAAGACACAAAAGCACTGGCTGATAGCCTCAAGAAACCTCACTTCTTTATTAAACTGAACTCAATGACTGGAACTGGATAAATTTTCGATGGCTGCTCGGACGGTAGAAACTTTTAACTTTTAATAAGCAGACAACCTTAACAAAAGGCCTCGCTGTACTGCACTGATTCCTTTTTCATTCTGACAAAACTTTTTCAGAGCTCGGGTAACGCGCTTACACTACTTTGGTTAGCTTCTGCATAAATTTATTATAAAAAATTGAAGAACCGCGTCTTCAACAAAACAAATCGGACTGACTGCCCGAGAAACTAGCATAAGCAAATTTATGCTCTCATTAAACCGTCGCGAAACTGACAGCAGCAGCAACCGTCCCGTTTTCTTGAGTCCAGTATTTAAGAAAGCACCACTTTCCTTATCGCAAACGACCAGGTGAAACCTTTTATAAAACATGCAAATTCGACCAGATGTCTTTTACTTTATAAGATAGTCATGGAGTAATTTTCAAACATTCTCATATACCGAATGTCCCCTCAATATTTTTTGTGACCAAATAACATCTACATGACGTGATTTACCTACACAACAGGAGGGGGGAGTTTTCCCAAAAGACAATAAACGTGTGTGAATTTTGTCCGTTAACGACACCAGAATGACGGATGTAAGATCTTAAAGGTGGCAGTAATAAGCTCGAGCTTTTTTAAAAAGCTGAGTTTCCTGAAATTTTCATCAAAAAACGTAAAACCCTTACAAAAGGCGACTTATTTTGGTGTGGAAGGGGGCGAGTTTGCGAAGATGAATTTAGCGAAGCGAATTGTCATACAATCGTATAATAATTTACTGAGGAAGCTCGCTACGTGCGTAGGCTTTTTCGTCTCATTTAAAACATATGCAAAAAAGCAAGACCACGGCAATAAAAAGAAATTACACAAAGTGAAATTAATTAACGGGAATAAGGGAACGAATTTTTACACGTCGGTAAACAAGGTTTGCACATAGTTTGGAGGTAAATGGAATGAAATCCTTTGGTCTGCAGTACCTACAGTGTTAAATAATACGATTACACACGTACACGCGGTTCAATTACGTTATTAACGGTTATTAATTGCTAATATCGTATCCATATTCAATCTTTTCTTATAATCTTATTACAGAATCAAATTCGAATAACGTTTACGCTAACCCCATTTCGGAGTTGGCATGCAACAAATGGGCGCTCTTTTGAAACCACACGTTACCACATGCAATTTGCCAATGCGTAAATTAGCGCACAAAGCTTCAACGCCTATATTATTGTTTTTTTTTTTGTCAAAACAAGGGGAGCACGTGATTTGCGTCGAAGCGGAAACCAGATAATAAGCGCTCTCCGGTCGCGCTCGATAAAAATGGTACCGTTGCCTTGCCTACCTCTGCATGTATCATAAAAAGTATGTATAAAGTGCTCGATCTAACTAGCGTCCTAATGTACGCAAATGTGCATGGTGTTAATTACATTTATAAGATAACTATGTAACGGAAGGAAGGCCGTTATGGGTAAAGTTATCTATGTTGGAAATTAGGCGAAAGTTTTTATAAACAATTTTCAGTTACAGTTTTCGTTATGTCGGTCGAACTGCTTATTAGCTAAACAAATTTGTGTCAAAATTGTCATTTTCTCGAATAGGTTTTTAGACCTGAACACCGGTCCGGGCCCTACAGCGTGTTTGATCAGGTTGACTTCTCGGCACTTCTTGGTTCTTCTCGTTTCCAAGGTTACTCGATCCCTCTTCTTGGTTTAAGTACGCTTTGGATTCTACCAAAGGTGTTTATCAATTGTGCAATAGTTCTTGATCCCGATTCAATAAGGACATTTTCCACATCTCGGATCAGAACTGCTGCAAAAAATCTTCCCTGAATTCGTCCCAATCAGGGTCCCAATTCTTCACTTATAGTAGGGAATAGGGAAGTTAGCTCGAAATCCACTGAACGAGAGTGATAAAATGTTAACCGATGGAGTTCTACTTTGGCCTATCCGAGTATGCTAAAATCGATCATCTGCCGCCTCAGGTCATATGACTTAAGGCGCCGCGTTACTTTTTGCTGTACCAATTTTAAATAGTTGTTTTTTGAGAAAAAATCCGATACAACTGAATACCGAACGATCCTCGAGATCTTCGCACATACATCATTTTTACAACACACCTTAAGGGATTGATTCTGGCCCACCAGATAAATATAGCTTGTAAAACAAATTTTTGAATCTGTATTAGTTTTACTTTTATTGGAGGTCCGTATAGGTATACGAAATTTCATTTAAATATCTGAACAAATAAAAAATTTGAAATTGCCATACAATTTTTTTGATTCGACATTAATTTTAATTTTATTCGAGGTGCCTACGTACAAAATTTCATTTAAATATCTTAACAAATAAAGAAAATTGGGATTGCGCAAATACAAAAGTTGGGTTGCGCATGAGCAATTTTTTTTAAATTCATCTGCATAGTTACTTGAGGTTTAAGGAATATTTACTAACACAGAAAACCGGACATTCATATGTTCTTTGTAACAAAAATTATAAAAGAAGCCCTTTTCAGAGGTTGGGGCAGTTTTTGGGCTGTAACTTTTTGGCCCGACAGACGGACAGACAGACGGACAGATGGGCTGACGGACAGACGGGCGGACAGACGGGCGGACAGACGGACGGACGGACGGACAGCAATACAAAATTATAAACGATCTCGAGGATCGTTAATATATAAGTTATACAATAATTGAAAACGTTGATAATAACTCTTAAAAAAATATCTGAAAAAGTCGCGAACATTACTAACTGCGTAAAAAACAACGTACTGTTATTTATGGATAATATACTTACTTTTTCCTTCGTACATAGTACGTACGGCAAAGTACGTACCTAGCATTGTACACTGTAGTAAAAAAATAACGTACCATGAAATGTACCTACATGAACCGTACGTGTACGTACAATGTACGTCCGTAAATCCACCTCTGTACGTATTATGTAATTGCAATGTACCGGGTGACACAATAAAACTGTTCTTCCGCCATATCTCGGGAACCGTTCGTCGTATGACGTAGGGGAAAAAATTATTGGGTAAATCGGTTATGAAGAGTCGCTGGAGAATATTTTCAAGTTTTAAAAATGACCACCAGAGGGCGTAACTGTTATCTTAAATTCTAAAATTGTTCTTTAAATTTCGCATAATAAACTAAAAATTTTTTTCACATTTTTAAAGAGAACCAGTTTATCTATCATTTTCGTAAAAAAAATTCAGTTATTTCAAAAACAAAGATGCTGTGGGGCGTTCAATTGTTTTTATAATAACCTGCTTTAACTTGTTAACGGTTTGACTGATTTTAACAAATTTGGTATCGTTAAAAAGAGCAATTCCTTGAACAATAAGAATCAACCAAAATATAGTTAATTTAGTTGAATCGTTCTCCGCCAGGGGGCTAGTTTTGACACTATGATCTAAAATCCTAAAAAAATCAAAAAAATCAAATAGAATGATATGATTTTTTCTTTATGGAAAAGTAGCCA